ACTATACATTAAACTACATGCATTTAATTTATGCTTTTACTATTTCAGTTGATATTCTCTGCTCTTATTTAAGCATACTAAAGAACAGCATAATAGCATAAAGGAGTTAATAAACTTCAAAATCATAAACAGATCACTTCTTTTAAGAATAATATGGTACAAGCAAATAGTTAATCCATAGTAAATACATGTCACATGAATAATGAACAAGTGACCAAACAAACCTTTGATTTTCATCAGTTATCAAAAAATTTATTCCTCATTAGGACTAACTTCAAGACACAGCAGATGAGAATACAACATAGCTTCAAACAAACCAAATCAATTTGGTAATTCTTCTGTCTCCTCTACACTGGGAACAGAAGCTTCAGAGTCACAGGCTATGTACTCAAGAGACAAAATATACAGATCTCTACAGAAAGGCAGAATGTATCATTCAGGAAGATAACAATAATTTAACATCTTCCACGTGCTATAAGCACTGGGTATAAAGTTGAAGAAAAAACATTATGAATCTAACAAAGCTGTCTTCCTTTGAGGAGCCCACCATGAATTGAAAGACCAAAGAACCATAATGTGATACAAGATGAGGATTGCCTTTCTTATCATTTCCCACACTGCACCAGCCAAATTACAACTCTTTTTTTCTAAGCACTCTATACATTTTTTTTTTTTGACAGGCAGAGTGGACAGTGAGAGAGAAAGACAGAGAGAAAGGTCTTCCTTTTGCCGTTGTTTCACCCTCCAATGGCTGCCGTGGCCGGCCCGCTGTGGCCAGCGCACTGTGCTGATCCAAAGGCAGGAGCCAGGTGCTTCTCCTGGTCTCCCATGGGGTGCAGGGCCCAAGCACTTGGGCCATCCTCCATTGCACTCCCAGGCCACAACAGAGAGCTGGACTGGAAGAGGAGCAACCGGGACAGAATCCGGCGCCCTGACCAGGACTAGAACCTGGTGTGCTGGCGCCGTAAGGCAGAGGATTAGCCTATTGAGCTGCAGCGCCGGCCTCTATACTCTTTATAATTGTCTTTATACAGCTATTTCTTCTGCCTAGATAACTTTTTCTCAATTGTTTTATCCAACAAACATCCACTCATTCTACAAGATCTAATGTAAATCTCAACTATATTTCCCAAATCCTTCAGAAGTATTCATAATTTCCTTTTGTACTTATCTTGGATTTTCTTTAAATTTATGTGGTCTTTTAATGACTGCTGTCTTTCTTAATGCACTACATACATTTTAGGAGTGTAGATTACGCCTTTTTCATCTTTATATTCACAGTGATAGTGTTTGCTGAACATAAATATATAATTGAAAGAAGCAATAAATACAGTATATATTAAAAAAAAAAGTAAAAAGACCAGTAGAAATTAGAGAGAGATGACATTGTTCCCCATTCCCAAGAGTACAACTTCTGATTCAGTCAACTCACCTTGCCTATAAGGCATCTCACCTCTTGATTTTATAACATGCAGAAATCAGAATTCACTACTTGGAAATTTACTTTATATTCACTAGAAAATATGTAGTTATAAACTGGAAGATATTTATACTTCTGACTTGCTGAGACAAGGTCATTAGGAAAGGGCAAAAAGGATGCTAAATATTCGACCATTTTAGAGAATGTGATTAACTGCTGAATAAATGTAGAAAAATGGAATTTACTGGTGTGTGTATAACTTCCAGAAGAGCTCAACCATACAATTCAGGACCCAAATTGCAATACCATGGTGCTTCAACTCAAAAACATATAGGAACTAAAGTTCCGCATGTGAAGATATTTACCATAGTTCAATGGCTTTAACATAGAAATGATCAAGATACTATGTGACACCAAGCTTTTAAATAGGTTGAGGCCAGCAGAGCCTTTTTCATGGGCCAAAATTCAAAGCTTACTGGTCTAGACTATCTATGTATAACCCCATCAATCATTAGTCTTTTTTCCTTCTTCAAGCTGGCAATGTGACAGCCTAGTAAACGAGTGACTCATCTATGAAACTCCCTACAAACATCCTAGACTTCAAGCTCTGATACACACAACTATGATTGCTATAAAAGGTGTGGCCAACCAGGAACTGTTAGATCAAGTGGTCATCTCCAGACAACATCTATTACACCTTCAAGGCTACTCTGACCAGAATTTGCAGATTAGTATGCTAAAAACACTATGGGCCTTTACTTACATTGAGTATCATCTTTTACTATAGGTATGATTTCTGCTCTCTTATTCAGATTCCAAGTACATATTCTGGCCTGAATTGAATTATCTCAAAGATAAGTCTCCCAATGATCATGGGGGAAATGTGAGGTTTCCTTCATCACCACATTTTTAAAAGTACTGAGTACCCACTATTGCAAGGCATTTGTAATACATACCAAGTGTTAGATAAAAACAGCCATTTTTCCTAATAACTTACAGTTTAATGAAAGACAATGACATTAATTTGATAAACTCACATAAATATATAATCACAAAATCAGATGACCAGTAAGGAAAAGAACGGCACTGGGGTGTATGGAGGGAGGCAGGAATTTTACAGACCATGCAAAAATGAGGGAATAACCAAGAAATGTCTCTTTGGGATTTGTGCTCTGGTGCAATAGGTTAAGCCATTGCTTACAACACCAGCATCCCATACTGTTTCCCACCTAGATTCCAACTAATGTGACTGGGAAAACAACAGAAGATGGCCCAAGTATTTGGGCCCCTGCTACCCACGTGGGAGACCAAGACAGATTTCCTAGCTCCTGGCTTCAGCCTGGTCCTGACCTGGCTGTGCCCATTTGGGGAGTGAATCAGTAATGGAAGAAAGATGGATGGATCTCTCTCTCCCTTTCTCTGTCTCTCTCCTCTCACCCTGTCACTCTGCTTTCCAATAAGTAATTTTTTATCAAGAAATAGCTCTTTGAGTAAATGACATTGAAAGTAAGAGGTGCTATTAAACAAGTCTGGTTTCCTATTCCATTCTTCTAGAAACTATTTTTAGTTAGGTATTTTTTCCTTGCTCATCCCATTAGCTTGTAGTAGGATTTGATGATATTATTTGTGCTCCTTAATAAAAATAATACTCCCCCTTTGATTTTATGACAACTCTTTCCTCATGCTTTTCTGACCAATCTGTAAGCCTCTCTTCAGTTACCTATTTCCTCCTAATCCAAATATAAAGCTGCATTCTTTGTATATTTTACGTGTATATGCTGTTCTCCAGTAATATCCTTTCTATCAATTTAAGCCCTTTGTCCTTAGATTCCCAAATATATATCTCCTGTCATTTCTCAGCACTAAGTTCATATTTCAACTGTCTAATGAGCATCTTTTTCCTGATAACCCAATAACACTTCAAATTCAACAAATCCCAAACTTAATTTATATTCCTACCCAAATTTACTATTCTTCTTACTGCCTATCATTATTGTTTCAAAATCAACTATGATATTACTATAGCTAGAAGAGATGGAATATTTCTAAACTTCATTTATTTTATACCTCATATTTTCAATAGATCTTCTCAATTCTTGTTGCACAATCTTAGTTCAGGCCATATGCACTATTTATGTAGAATATCTCAAATATTTCTAATTGTTCCCCTGGTCTTTAGTTAATGCTCACTCCATTTCACCATTTTCACTACCATTAGTTTACCATTTTAAAACAAAATTTGATCATTCTTGATTGGCTCTCTAATTAGGAAGTTTTACATTAGGAAGTAAAAATATCTTACCATGATGTTAAGACATGTTATAGTCTGGCCTCATTCTGTCTTTTAAAGTCTAATTTATTGCCACTGTTTCCCACAAATTTTTGTTATGCCAAATAGCTTACTATTTTTAAAACACATTTTGTATGCTCTTTAATCTGTGCACCTGTGTGTTCTGTTATCCATCTGGAGTGCCCTTCTATTCTTTTCCCACCTACCAAACACATGCACATCCTTCATTTGGTTGCTTTCGTATCACTTCTTTTATAACATAAACTCATCTATCTTAGTCAAAGCTAGTTATTTTCTCTTCTGTGTCTCCATATTTATTTCATACTTTTATTTTAGTAATTACACTATAATACTATGATTCTTTGTACATCACTCTCCCCAAGTAGGCTTTTCAAGAAGGCAGAAAAACCACACTTTATTTATATTCAACAACAAAGTGCTGAATTTATTAACAGATTCTTGGATTGGCTTGTGTTTAATTATCTATCAATTTTGATTAATCATCATACCAATAATAGCAACCATTTACTTAATGTGTATTGTGTGTTATGCATTGAATTAGGCACAAACACTATCTCATTTCCTTTTCACAATACCGAGATAATTTTTATTAGCTTCATTTTAAATAAAATAACCAAGGCTGTAGTGAAATTATTGGCCCACAAGCATCAGTGATTGACTGAACAAAGAGTCAAACCTAGGTTACCACATTACATAGTTCATATTCTTTCTCTTTATAGCTCTAGCTGCTCTCACAAATAATTGCAAGGGTTTAAGACCTATCATCATAATGTCATCTTACCTCATATGGGAAAAAATATGTTCTCAGAATAGCTAATGTAGTATCAAAATATTTCATAAGGATTATTTTGACATTGGTTTTAACTTTTTTAATATAAAAAGCAATCACATAAAGTATAACATTTAATTTTAATTTAATGTATATATAAAGAACATGCAAATAATTTGATTATTTCAAGCATGATTTTTCTAAAATAGGATTACTTAATATATGTGCTACTGAAGGGAATGGGCTTTAAAGTAATTGTGTACAACTGTACATCCTATGAGCTCTTTTTTCAAGTCACCAGGTGAGTTATAAGCCTCTTTAATTTGTCATTTGGCACTAATGTAACAAGGTTAAGGAAGGAGGAAAATAACACTTTCAACTGGTTAAGCATGATGGGGTTTCATTTCTACTTGCATTTAAATTTCTAACAGAAGGAAAAGGAGGAAAGGAATACAATTAAAAATGAGAAGTATCCCTTTCCATCGGTTTCATGTCCTCACCAGTGCACACAGAAGGTCAACTGCTTCCAAGATCAGTTCCTGATGGCCAATGCGGCTGACTCCCAGATCTTCTAGCTCTTGATGTGTAATGCGCAACAGCTGGTCCCCACTGATTTTCTCCCTCTCAAAGTTCTTAATGTACTGCTGCAGACAGTCATCAAGACCTACAACATAAAAGTATGGAAGACCAGAATGAATAAACTGTTGAACCAAAAAATGGAGGAAATGGTGGAGGGGGAAACAAGCACTAACTCCTACCATGTCATGAGTTAAGTGTATTTTAACTTTGGACTAGTTTCATCATTCATCTATTCTCAATTTCTATTGGGCTGCAGCAAAAAAAAAAAAATACTTCAACATATTCCTAGTTGGTACGCTCATAATTGAATTATCCTCAGCAATCACTTAAATCTTCACCTCTCTTTTCAGCAGTTCTCCTTGCTGTGTAATTCATAAATCCTGCTAAAAGGCAGATCTTCCTACTTTCAATTCTTTTCTTCTTCAACACCATTTCAGAGGGAGAGGTATCCTTCCTAAACAAGGATAATCTATCTCCATATACTCTGAAATCCCATCTTCTACCACCTTAACGCTATTTCAAATATTTGAAAATTAAACGCTCTCTTTGTTTCAGTCATTTTCTATTTACACTTGTTATGTTCAAACTCCTGCCATCTTTAACAAAAACCTTCTTTTATTTATTTGATCCTGTGTTCCCCAGTAGTCTGTCATCCTATCTACAATCATGCCCCTTACCTTTATTTTCTCACCTGCAAAATCCTCCTTAATCCATTATCATTTTGATTTTACCCAAGTTCAAAAATAGAAACTCACAATGGATTTTATAGTCTTGAAGCTATCTTTTTCAAGATTACCCAGGGCCATTTGTAAGTGATCAGTTAGGTTACAGAGTCAGCTTCAGTCACCTATGAGATGGCATGATACAAATGATGAACCAGACTAATAAGATTAACTATTTAGATTAAATAAGGGTTACCAAAAAAATGAGGCAATTAGTAGAAACTAGAAGGTCATGATTATGTGAATGAGGGAGAAAAGAGGACATAATGAGCTATATTCCAGCTGAGGTTACAGCGGAGCAGAAATTACATGCAAGTAGAGAAAACAGATATTGGGTTAGAACAGATGTGCAAAAGGAAGCAAGATCCCTTTTGTTTGTTATAGAAATATGGGAGATATGATGTAGCTATTTAAAGACAAAAGTCAGTCCTAAAAGCAGCCTGGTTTCTGATAATGTCCAATGGTATGCATATACTGATGAAGGCTGAAATATTCTCCGTGTATATAGCAACATGAAATCCAGCAGGGGCACTGATAAGAGTTGTGTTCACAGTGAGGTAATAAGCCATCACTGAATGAGTTGAGTAGTCATCAAAGCAGTAAGGTTGTAGAAGAGAAGATATGCAATAAGAGGATACCTGGAGAATATAGAATTGAGAGGAAGTTTGTTTTTATTATGTAAGAGACTTAAATTTTGGTTATATCCATATATTTTCATTTAAAAATGAAGGGAGGAGGAGATGAGTGCATATAGATTTACAGAATGTACAAGTAAGAAGATGAGGGCTTTCTCCTTAATGACTTTAAGATGACCTTATGGTTCCATGTGGGGTTCAATGAGGTATTTATATAGCACACAAATATGCTGTAACACCATTACAAATATGTTTTGGACACCTGAATAAATTCAGTACCAATCACACTGTTACAGAGACAAAGATGATTTTTAAAGACTCTGAGGTCAGAAACAAGGGAAAAGGTGATGAAACTATGTATGCATCAGGCGCTTTTCCAAGAAGAATTGTAGTCTGAGTAGTAGTACAAAGAATGTATTACTTAGAGTTGGAAAAAGGCACACAAAAATATCATTATAATTTGATCTATTAATGGAAGTACTGATGGCAGTAAGAACCATGAAAATGTGGTACAGGCACACTATGGAATATTATTCAGCCATAAAAAAGAATGAAATTCTATCTTTTGCAACAAAATGGATGCAACTGGAAACCGTTATGCTTAAATAAGCCAGTCCCAAAAAGACAAATACCATATGCTTTCTCTGATATGTGGGAGTTAATATAGAATACCAAAAATGTATAGGAATGAAACACACATCTTTTGATTTGATTGTTGTTCTTAGCCCTTGTTTATAATACTGTGGAGCTATGGTCTTTCTGCTTTTACTTGTTGACTATTATGGTTAGTGGAACATGAAGCCTGTGATTACAGAGTGGACTGAAATTATGTTTTTGCAAAAATTAAAGCAAAAAAAGAAAGGAAGTAAGGAAAGGGATTGAGGGAGGGAGAGTTGGAGGGAGGGAAGTATGGCTATCTTCTTAGAATTGTACTTATGAAATACATGAAACCTGCTCTCTTTATATTAACAAAAATTGTTAAAAATGAGTCCATGAGATCTTTTGAGAATATATAGAATGAAAGGTAAAGTGAGCCACAACACTTGGGGGACGTGGGAAAGAACAAAAATGGGTCAGAGAGGACCAAGGTAATAAGATGGACATGACAGATTAAGTGTCAAATGCAGTACAGTATCCTAGTAAGACAAGGGCTAAAATATTCTGATTTGACAATTGAGAGATTATAAGTGATTTTAGCTAAAGTATCAGAATAACAGAAATAGAAGATAGATAAGAGTATGGGCTTAAGGAGTGACTAATGAGAAAATAGAGGCCTTGTATGTAGAAGATTCTGTTAGGAGATTATATGGTATTGGTAAGGATGGAAGTAGATAGGGAGTTATCAATTAGGGTCAAGGGGTCTACTGTTATACTAATTTTGGAGATGAAAAAACTAAAGCTCAGTAAGATCAGTTCACTCTCTAAGTATATACAGTAAATAACTGACTAGCAAAACAAAGATTAATATCTAGTAGTCCCAGAGGATTCTTTTTTTTAAAAAAGATTTATTTATTTACTTGAAAGAGTTACACAGAGAGAAGGAGAGGCAAAGAGAGAAGGAGAGGCAGAGAGAGAGAGAGACAGAGAGACCTCCATCCGCTGGTTCACTCCCCAATTGGCCAAAATGGCCAGAGCTGCAGCGATCTGAAGACAGGAGCCAGGAGGGTATTTGGAGTCTCCAACGTGGGTGCAAGGGCTTTGGGCCATCTTCTACTGCTTTGCAATCTTTGTTGACTACATCAGACCATCTCAAGACTGAAAAAAAAAAACAGAGGCCAGTGCCGTGGCATAGCAGGTAAAGCCGTTGCCTGCAGTGGTGATATCCCATATGGGCGCTGGTTTGAGTCCCGGCTGCTCCACTTCCAATCCAGCTCTCTGCTATGGCCTGGGAAAGCAGAAGATGGCCCAAGTCCTTGGGCCCTTGCACCCACTTTGGAGACCTGGAACAATCCCCTGGCTTTGTGGCCATCTAGGGAGTGAACTAGCTGATGGAAAACCTCTCTCTCTCTCTCTGCCTCTCCTTCTCTCTCTGTGTAACTCTGACTCTCAAATAAATAAATCTTTAAAAAAAAAAAAAGACTGAAAAAACTCAATAACATAGTGGGTTTATATTCTTACAAAAATAAAATAAATGAAATAGAAACATAATACAGCTATTAAAATTTAAAGAGGATCACATAGGATAGTGGCTAATAAAATCACGTTTTTCCAGACCTACATGAAAAAAATTTCTTTAAAACTACCAACGACTAAATTCCACACCAGCATACTCCAATGAAATGAATACAGTATTAAGTAAACTGAAAATAGATCTTTGTAAAAATTAAGAGTGGGAATGTGAGAGAAAGAAAGGAGGAAGGGTTGGAGCATGGGCAAGACGGAGGTTTGGGGGGGAAGTGTCACTATGTTCCTATATCTGTATATATGGAACACATGAAGCTTGCATAACATAAATGAAATATAAAAAAAAATTTAAAAAGATCCAGTTGCTCCTCTTCCAGTCCAGCTCTCTGCTGGCCCGGGAGTGCAGTGGAGGATGGTCCAAGTGCTTGGGCTCTGCACTCACATGGGAGACCAGGAGGAAGCACCTGGCTCCTGCCTTCGGATCAGCGCAGCGCGCCGGCCATGGCAGCCATTTGGGGGGTGAGCCACCGGAAAGAAGACCTTTCTCTCTGTCTGTCTCTCTCTCTCCCTAACTCTGCCTGTCAAAAAAAAAAAAAAAGAGTACCCAACTGGTTTTCAATGTGAAGTTGCATTCAAACGAATGAAAGGGAAAATACTGCAAGTGACTCTTAGATACCAGTGAAACCTACACAATACATGCTGATCTAAGAATTAACTCCTCTTCCTTTGTTCATCAATGCCATTCTTTATGTCTACCCTCTTACATGAAAGTAGTTGTTCTATAACAAACAGGATATATAGTTTTTATAAAAATCCTCATGAAAACCAAATAAAACAGAAAAAGAAAAGGCAATTTTCTTCTAGGCCTGTTCTCATTTACTCTGTCCTAATGTTATAAAGGGCAAAGCTTTTAACAGGCTATTTATCATTTCCAAATGGAAGAGATGATGCTTTCAGTAATACTTTATATTTTATGCTCATTCTGTGCCAAGCACTATTAATAAGCCTTTTACAAATATTTTCTCATTTACTACTTACAACGAGCTTATGAATTCCTTATCATTATACTGGTTTTACAGATAATACTAAATTTAAGGACCACAATCAAGATCTCACAGTTATACATGCTAAGTCAAGGTCTAAGTCCAAGTCCATCCAACTCCAAATCCGTGATCTGAATTAAGAGTGGAGGGTATGGGGGAGGGGGGCAGCACTGTAGCATGGCAGGAGACACCATCTTCCTATATAGGAGTGCCAGATCAAGTTCCGATTGCTCCATTTTTGATTCAGCTTCCTGTTAATGCACCAGAGAAGGCAATGGTTTATATATAATAGTAACAAATGAAAAAGTGAGTTCTATTTGAATCATCTTTTGAAAATTGAAAGTTCATCAAAAGGTACCTAAAATATTTTGGGATATGTACTATATACTCATTTAATGTAATGATAATTTCAAATGCGACAATCTTATTGTCATACTTCTTGTCTGGAAAACATATTTAAAGATTTTTATTTAAAAAAGTAAAAGTCACAGGCAACAAAAGAAAAAAGGTAAATTGTGCTCAATCAAAAACAAAAACATTTGTGCATCAAGGACACTATAA